TTGAATATTCTTGAAGAACTTTGAACTACCTCACACCTCGACTGCAGCACTTTGGTAGTTAAGCTTTAAGTCTTTTAATTTTTTAACAGGCTAATATCCACTCGCAAGTAAGAATATACTATCTTTCAAATTTGAAGTGCTAGCTCGTATTATCTGTAAAGGTAATGTGCTAAAAACAACCAAAAATCAAAGCTTAACAAGATTGCTATATTACTAGTGAAGTATTGAGATATCATTATTTAGCGGTACTTTAAGTGCCTGCATTTAATTCTTTTCAAGCAGTGAATAATCTAAGTTAAAAGGACAACAATCTTTGCGACTACGAGTTTCCTGTAGGCATAGCTATGTATGAGTGTGTAAGTATGTGTGTGGTGTGGGAATGAGCAGTGTGTATTGCTTATAGTGTATTTGTGTGTGTGGTGAATGGTCCGCGTGCGTTAGAGTGATTAGGTAACAAGAATTACAAGCAGTTTTTGTGTAAATGAGTCTATGCATATATGTGGAAGTATACGGGTGCATGCCATAAGACTATACGTGTAGATACATGTACGTGTATGCATATATGAGTGTACGTAAGCATGAGTATGTGTGGCACGTGCCCAAGTAAGTGTTCGTATTCTACGAGACAGTTTACGTGAGTCTTTGTATGAGTATGGGAATGTGTGGAATGTTTGTATGTGTAGTGTTCGTTTGCTAAAAAAGTTGCTATTCAGCGAATGGAACAGAATAATTTTCACTCTTTCATTAGAAGTAAATAGTAGTTGCTTGAAGAATAGTGGAACATTTGCGTTCTCTAAACTAAATTATTGTATAATTCCATTTCTCATTGGATTCTTTCGTTCCATCACTTTGCAAACATTTATAATTGTGCAAAGAGTGCTTTATTGTCGTCGTAAATTTTATCGTAAGATTAATATTTACCTCTTTTTTCTTAAATTATTCGCTGATTTCTAGCGAAAATTCAAATTGTATACGAAAAAAAAAAAATTGAGAATTAAGAGAGTGAGGCGCACTCAGAGAGAAGAGGAAGTGCTGGTTTTGCGGTAAGACAGAAATTGACTGCATTCTAAGGAAATTTGGAATTTGTTGTAAACGTAAAACAGCACATGTCTTCAAATAGCAAATAGCTAAGCTTACCAGTGCTAATTAGCAGAAAGCCAGCAGCTTCGATGCTTCTCTGTTCAGTTCTAAAATTCATCATTTTAATGCTTTCGTTTGAAACATCAGATGCAGTTTCAATCAGCTCACTTCCGGAAGCCAGTATGACTACAGTAAGTATATTCGCGTGATGTGTAGTTTTGAAAGCTGTTTATGTACTGTCTTTTTAAAAGCCATTTACTTTCTCGTACATATCTGTCTTTCTAACAACTATTATTCGACCCGGAGGGTAATGAACTGTTCCCCTGGAGGCAGGTGCAATTCAGGGTCGACTCGTGGCAAACCCCTTATTTATGGTATTATACCTTTCCTTGTATAGGAATTACCAGGAAATCGTCATTGGGATGCTTATTTCTCAAATCAACTTCGTTCATATTTACTAATCCCAGTAAGTCAAAAATTTTAGGTTTTAGTCGCATTTTGAACTGATAAATACAAAACTAAACAGGTTATTTATGATTTATGCGCAGAATTTGCTTAATAAACGTCTAGTTTTGTTTAAACTTTTTACTCATTATTAATAAGCACAGAGATGTGCATTAGTTCGATACTAATGTGTATTTCATACGATCTAATTAGCTTTTGAATTATTTTGATGAAATAGCAATGACTTTAAATCATAGCTCACTGATGCTCTGTTTTTTATAAAAACACATTGTGAACCTTTTACTACAGCCTGAAATTGTTAATTATTATGGTTTTCCATCCGAAGTGCATCATGCAACAACAAATGATGGCTATGTGCTTGAACTGCATCGGATTCCAAATGGCAAAGCAGGTAAATCAAAATTAATCAAAGTTGATTTCTTAGTATTAATAATATTGTAGACTTGTAATACTGATTATTATACCAAGCTATAAATATTTTTATTAGATATAAATACTGAAGTAATAAATATTGACATCGAATAATTTATTATTTTTTAACTTAAACCTTATTTTATAATTTTATCGGCCCTGAAAAAATTTATAGCGTGTATTAAAACATAAAGAGTGTCATAATTCGATGCAGTCTATTATGATATTCTGCTTCTATTTTAAATCTAAAATCAGTGGCAAATGTTTGTTTTTAGAGAATGGAATTAGTGCACATCCGAAACCAGTTGTGTTTCTTCAACATGGTTTTGTCGGCTCAAGTGCTGTTTGGATCACAAATTTGCCAAATCAGTCCGCTGGTTTGTAGAAATTTGCGTAAATCGAATTTATAAATACATTTCTCATATTTCTTATTGACAATTTACTCTTGTATAGGCATCAGATAATGTTTTCAGTCTCTATGCTTAATCTGAAATTCAATACTTAAAATTATTTTGTCTACATTTGTCTTTTCTTACTGCTCTGTTTTTGAGGATTTTTATTTGCCGATGCAGGATTTGATGTGTGGATGGGGAATGTTAGAGGTAATGTTTACTCTACCAAACACGTAAATTATACTCGGAAAAATCTGAAATACTGGAAATTCACGTAAGCTTTCATATGTTTAGGTTGATTTATATTTTACGATATTTATAAGAGTTGTTTTCTACAATTCTTGATTTCGTAATTTTGATTGCATTTTAGATTTGATAAATTCGCTAAATACGACTTAGATACCATGATCAATTATGTGCTTAACAAAACACACCAGCGAATTTTGTATTACGTTGGATATTCCGAAGGTACCTTAACAATGTTTGCAAAACTTTCAACCGACCACAACTTTGCCAGAAAAGTAAGATTGAATTCACCAAAGTTTGAATTCATTTTGATTGTTTGATTTATACGATTTTCGCATGAAATTTATTATTTTTTTAGTGTAAATTTAAGCACTGTTTAGATCGCCAAATTTTTTGCTCTTGGACCAATCGGTACACTCTCACACATTAAAGGCTTAATAGATACTGCAGCAAAAAAATTTATCAGACCACTTAAAGTAATTTTTCCCTTTTCATCTTTTTCAGTCATCTGCATGATGACAATTATTATTCCCTTAAAATGGTTCTGTAAGATTAGGTTACAGTCTTACAGTATTATTAGAAGATTTAAGCTAAGGCTGCTTTTTTCTGTCTCAATTTAAATCAAAACCATGTTCTTTTTGTCAAATCTCATCTTCAGAAAATTGAATATTTTTTTCGTCCTATTTTTTGTCAATTCATCTGAGAAATTAATTCACTTGAGCGATCAATCGACCTAAATATTTACCATTAAAGTTTATGACGAAATTCATTGGCGAATTCATGCCGAATAAGTCGATTTTTCAATGGATCACCAAATCAACATGTTCTCTCAAAAATATCGTTGAATATTGTGAAAGTCTCATGTTTCAGATGACTGGACCTCCAACTATTGAAATGAATGTTGTGGGTTTCCTCGCTTTTATCATATAATCCATCTTTATATTTATACAACGTCTTGGAACTTGTAATTACTTCCATTTTACATCAGTCATGTAGTTGCAAATTAATTCTTATCATATCTTTCAAAAGCTGTTTCTATCTATACTCCATTTGTAGAGTCGAATTCCTGTTTATATGAGTCATCTGCCAGCTGGTACTTCCATGGCAAATGTCTTACATTGGACTCAGATGGTTAATAGTGGAAAAGCACAAATGTACGATTACGGATCGGAGATGGAAAATATGAAACACTATAAATCAGTTCTGTTCAGCATACATGCATAAATTCATAGAATAATTTTAAAAAATCCATCCTGTCTAAACAAAATTATTTTGTAATATTTATATCCATTACCATTTCGAGTCATAGTAATTTCAGTGTTTGAACTGAACATGAATTAAAATGGTCTCAAAATACCTGATAGTTTCAGTAATTTTGCAGATAAGGCCTCCTGTATATAACTTATCGCTAGTCAGTGTTCCTGTTTACTTGTATTGGAGCGAGAAAGACTGGTTAGCTGATAAACGTGATGTTGAAGTAAACCTTCATCCTTATATTACCGAGTTTACTCAAGTATAAAATATAAACAGAAAATTCGAAAAACATTTTTGCTTCCGTTGTTGTCACGAAGTAGAATGAAAAAATATTTTATTTGACGTGATCGTATTTTGTAAAAATGTGGAATTGAATTTTTATTAATAGTAACGACTTTGTAAGACAAACTTTATCTCTAGTGCAGATTGCCTTTCTCTTACTTTTATCCATGAAATTATAATTTTTAAAAAAGAGCATGCATTAATGTCAATTTCAGGATGGTATAATTGCTGTCATACCTGAAGAATACCTAATGCAAAATAAACAACTAGAAAATTTCAATCATTTTGACTTCATTTGGGGAATTCACGCCGCTAAAGAAATATATCATGATATTATTCAAATTATTCGCGAGGATTTGAAAATACGACGCAATCATAAATAACGTGACACTGATTTATTCTTTACTATGCATAATATTACTTTGAAAACTGTTTATGATGACATTGTGAATGTTTGTAAAATGCTAGAAACTGAATTTTTGAACTTCAAAAGAAATCTAGCATTATATAAACATTCATTTATTATTCTGAATTTTAGCTGGGATGTTATTATTATTTGGAAGACTGACTTTCCTTCATGCTGGCAGATAATAACATTTACATCGTAAAAATCTCAATGATTTTGATTGCCTTAAAAGAATAATAGGTGCATTCGTAAATTGACACCAAAGCAAAAAAAAATTTCTAGATGGGAAAACAATACAGATGTCCGGGAATGACATTAAATACAGTAATTTGTATTTTATTTCGTTCAACTATGTTGTCTATTTGCTTTGAAATAAATCATTTTAGAAATGGCATGTATACAATAATTTAAGACTGTGGGAGTGCTACATTGTGATATGGAATTTAATTTGATATTCTCGTTATTGACATTGACGTTGCATTATGGATGTTGTGACGGCGCACTCAGTCAGTGAATGCTGTTGTTAGGAAGTTGAAATGTGGGAAATATTCGTAAATCTCATGCCTTTAAAGTCTTTTTCATACGACCCGCACTGCTTCTCATTCTTCGTTTGCATTCTGATAATATGGACAAAAAGAAGGTAACCTATTCCGATTCTCCCACTAGCCTGAAATTCAAGAGAACAGCTCTCGAACTACGACCCCGTTTTCTAAACTGTGCTCCATTCTGAGGTCACATAAATTAGAACACATCAAAGGGAATAAAACTGACACGCAAATCTCTAGAACGACTCATCAAATATAATTGCAACCAAAGGAGCAGCGCAAATTAAAGAGATGAGGGAGCGATAAAATCCATACCTTTTTTCAAGTGCATGGGCTAGAAACCTTGTTCAGTTTGAAGAAGAGAAACACCATAGAGAGTACACTCTCTATTTAGGGATGAGAAAGGAAGTTAGATGATGAGACGGCAGTGAATGACATGGCATTGGAGTGGGTAAGTAGCACCCTGAGCGTTCGATCATACATTGAGTGAGTGGATGATATTTGCTGTAGAGATCAGCCAGACAAGTTCTGATCGAAGTGACTAGACGTCCGTTTATGCTCTCCCTCTCTCTCCCTCCTTCCCTCCCATATTTCTTATCTAAGCGAAGGGATTTTGCAATTGCACCATCGAAACAGATGATAAATTATTAGCTGCAATCTGTTAAAAAAATCTTGCAGTGGCATTTCACGTATCAGTTACGCATCCCGCTTGTTTTTACGAAAAAATTTACTTCAGGGAAAAAGTTAGATTACGCTTTACAGCGCAGCTGCACATTGCTATGCCTGAAATTTGATTCCACACCAAATTATAAGCATGTAAAGAAGCTTTTGACTGTCTCTCTTGAAGCTCTTTCAGTTTCTCAGCAATCTGAATAGTTAGTTATTTGTAGTGAACTGCCAGCGTCACGTGGATAAAAATGATGAAATTATGCGTTGAAAAGCTTTTCTCTCATGAAGAGTTTCACTTTCGATCATTTATCAATAATCACATGAGAACAAACAAGTACGC